TGTTTTGAATTTCTGCTGGCCCCGGCTGCTCTGTTCACTCACGTTGAGGTCATATGGCACCACCTGGAAAGCTGGTGCGTCCTCACTAGCATGTTCCCTCTGGGAACTAGAAAGAGACCTGTGAGAAGCCAAGATGTCTGAAGAAAGGAGCACATCAGTGTGATGGTCTCGAAGGAGCACATTGGTGGCAAAGTCCTGGAGGCGCACGCCAATGGGATAGTCTTGAAGGAGGATGTCACTGTGAGAGTCTGGAAGGAGCTCACCAGTGGCACGGCCTTGAGCCACCTGTGTTTTAAGGCATGGCTCCTTTGGATGTTGGGCAACTGACTTTGTTGGTGGCGACAGGGTTTTCCTAGTGGCTGGAAACCCCAAGACAGTCCCATTCTCCCAGCTTCTGCCCATGAGGTTGACTGTGGGCATCTGATAAGGCAGTCTGCCCTCCTGTCCAGTCAGAGGGGCCTCTGAGGGCCCATACCTGTCACCAGGTGAAGTCTTTCCCAGGGCCCTCTGGATTTCTGTATGCTCAGGTGAGGGAACAGGGAGGGGACTCACCAGGGTGGGAACTGTTGCTTTTGTTATCGCTGTCATTCCCTGATGGGGCTGAGGTTTTCCAGAGAGCTTATTAGCAAAGTTGGCTTTTGAGTGTGCTCTAGATTGACAGGTGGCAGAGGGGGGAAAAGGTGGACCTTGGAGAGGACAAGGGTTGAGCCCCACCTGGCTTGAGATTTATGGGCTCAAAGGCCTGGTTGGGTAAGCCCCACCTGTGCCTTACCCGCCAGCTTATAACATGTGCTTCCAGCATCTGCCGAATGCTTGGACTGAGGAAGGAAAGCTCACGGGAGGAGTTTGCACAGGGTTTCCAATACTTCGAGGATGCTAGATTTCTGATTTCCTCGTGAGGGTGGGGCTTATAAGAAGCGTAGTTGGCAGCAAGCCAGGATTGACGCACACTCACAGGCGTCATACCTTGATTAATCTGCCTCGACTTTGTGCTCAGATGGGCTTTCAAGAATTTTTCTAGATGTTTCTGCTCTGGGCTACTGGGTAAACAGTTTCCAGAGTTACTCTTCAAGGGCCTCATCAAGTATCTTTCTGACTCCTTTTCAGAGTTTCTTTGCAGAAACTTGACTGGGAGGCTGGTCCTGGAGGAAGCTTTTGAGATCCTCCTGAGACATGGCCTTAGACCCTTGCCGAAATCCTGCCCTGGTTGGAATTGCATTTGACCCTTCCTGTGGGATCTCCTAGGGCACCCGGACCTTGTCCTCTGTCGGTCCAGTCTCCTTTTGCCTGTAAAAGCAGAGGGCTGCCAGGGTCCCTGCTTGCCCTGTGCCTGATGAGTCCCTAAAAATTGGCACTGAGAGGAGCTCAATTCCAGAGACGGAGACAGGTGGATACTGTGGGCCAGGCCCCTCTTGGTTTGCTCTTTGATGAGCCTCTTTTGAAGATGTTGCTTCTGGAGATCAGGGCCAATTAAGTCCTCATGATGAATGGAAACTACTGACCTTCGGGCCTGAGAGCGTCCCCTGTCTGGAGGAAGGGTGAGAATGAGTTGGTTAAAGCCTTTCTGAGATCTTTTGACCACAGAGGGTGAAGGCTCCCCACTTTTCAGTTGCTTCTGCAACAAGGGGCATTTCAGACATTGAGTTTCAGTGGGGATAAAATATAGTGTCTTGTTCTGAAAGGTAGGACAGTCTAGTCCACAGGTACTCATCTGGGGTGGAGAATAAGGTGGTCTGGATAGGAGAGAAGATGGGAGGTAGAGCTGGGCCTGGATCTGAGCCAGAGGGGGGGGCTGGCAGGGAGGCAAGTTTTGAGTGAAAGGCTGGGGTGGGACCCCCGGGCAGGGCAAGACTGGGGCCTGGGAAGCACCTAAAGGTATTCCAGGTTGAATTGAAACTGAAAAGCCATGAGAAACTCCACTGAATAAAACAAAGGGTGCCTGCTGTTGAGCAGAGCTCCGAACAGCCAGCAGAGACTCGCTGTGCAGAGAGGGGAGACCCCAGTAGAGCTGGCTGTATTTCTGTTCCAAGTGGTCCCTCAAGACCTCGGAGTGTAAGAGCTGCTGAGGACCAGGTAGCCGCTCTAGCTGCTCTGTTTTGTCTTTCATGTTCCAGAAAGATTGAGGGGTTGTGTTGTCCTGCTCAGCACCCAGTGATTTCCACATATTCCCTGACGTGTTCAGGTGGTAGTCTGAGCTCATTTGTTCTGAGAATGACCCATCCTTTTCTTTCTCCTTACAAGTGTTTAGTTTTACTTTCTTGGTGACTAGAAGCTCCAGCAGCTTCTGGACTTCAGGGTTGACAAATAAGGGGCTACCAGTCTCTACCTGCTTGTCTGTGGGCCCTCCCGAGAACGGGGCCCCTGGTGGCTGGTGGGACAGGTGTTCTTGCCAGGACTTACTCTGTGATGAGGTGGGGAAGAACAAGGCCTTGGTAATCTTCCACCAGAAGGACAGGAACAAAATGTGATAGCATGCGAGGCCAAGACTCAAGATGGCTGCAGTGGTAGATGGCAAAAAAGAATTACCTGGAGGTGAGCTCTTTGCAACAGTGCCAAGGGTGACTCTCTTCAAGTTGGATTGGTCTTGAGGTTCTGTTGACAGGCTGGACGCCACAGGTAAAGAGCCCTGGGTCAGAGGAACCAGGGCAGCTGATGGGCACACGGCAGGAGCATCGTCTTCTGCAGGTTCCCTGCAGGGCTGGTGGGCTGCAGCAGGCGCCTGCTTTGCCCACCTCACCGAGGGGGTCTTGACAGGAGAGCTGATGGAAGCCGCCCTTGTGAGGGAGCTTGTCCAGGTGGCTGCAGGAGACATGAGGCACAAGCTGCAGCCAGGAGCCCCCAGGGCCAGGAGGGCTGGGCAGGGCAGGCAGGGGTGGGCACCTGTGGCCCCACGGCCCTCCACGGCCCCCGTGCTGACTTCACAGTGCTTCTGCTGTCCCTCCCCCCGGGGCTTTAGACGTACGCTGTCCTCAGGGCTCCCCCTCGCATTTCAGCCCCAGGCTCGCTGCAGCCCAGGTGTCACACCATAGGCTTTGGGTGGAAGAAGAACCCAGGAGAGAAGGGAAAGATTCTTTACCTTTGCAGAAGTGAAATCAGGTCCCGAGCCTTTTCCAGCTCTTTCAGGGGATTTCTGCAAGCTGGAAATCAGCAGAGTGGGTCACGGTGGTGAAGGCAAGGGCCTAGGGGGTCTCACAGGAGGCTGAGTGCAGTGTCCCTTTAAGGGGACACCATTGGGAGATTGCAGCCCAGGCACCAGCGTCCAAAGCCACATGATCCCTGACAGCGATGGCGAAGCTCATGAAAGGGTTTATCATTTACAAAGTACTTCCATATCCATTACCCCTTGCCGTCCTCACATCCTCCATGTGGGGGAGAATGGGCAGGGGTCACCTTACAGAGGAATCTGAGCAAAGTTAAACAACTTGTCCACGGTTGGACCTGGAGGTCCCACCTCCCAACCCAGGCGCTATTGGTCCGCTGTAGCCCACACTTCCCTGCTGGGCCACACCCTTTTCCAGGCCCCTCACCACTTCATTGTGCACATGGAATCTGGGAGGTATCTGGGTTGTTCTGCTCTCCTTCCCAGGAGCCTCCCTGAGGGTTCTGTTTCTTGAGGGACAGGCCCTGCCACTGGCTTCCTCGGAGCCTGTGGAGCTGGGCCCTCAGGGCTGAGAGAGATGGGGGCTAACCCTCGGGGCACACAGGGATGAATGGCACAACTTACCTTTCACAGCTCTCTTTTTCTCGTTAATCTTGCGTCTCCCCTTCGGCTCCATTTGATGCTGAGAGACAGAACAAATGAGGACCTGGGACCCAATTCTCACTCGCCCCTCTCTAGACAAGCATCAGACACTCAGTGTCCATGACATAATATGACTTTCTACGTTTAACTAACAGAGCTCTGTGGTTTTTCTTTCCTTTCACTCATTTTTTTTTTAACATCTTTATTGGGGTATAATTGCTTTACAATGGTCTGTTAGTTTCTGTTTTATAACAAAGCGAATCAGTTATACATATACATGTGTTCCCATATGTCTTCCCTCTTGCGTCTCCCTCCCTCCCACCCTACCTATCCCCCCCTCTCCCCCAGGCTGTCACAAAGCACCAAGCCAATACCCCTGTGCCATGCGGCTGCTTCCCACTAGCTATCTACCTTACGTTTGTTACTTTTCACTCATTTTTAAAGAGGATAAAAATATTTTCTGTTTTCCTTCTCTGAAGAACATAAAGAAGGATTTTCAATGTGAGATTCACCCTGGATTTCTTTCGTCACTGTTCCTCTGCTCAAGAAACACACACATTCTCTCTGAACTACGGATTCATTCTGAGCTCCAACAGGTGCTTCCCAAGGCCAGGGCCACTCCAGCGCCGGCTCTGAGGCTCTCAGGGCCTCAGCACTGCCAGCAGATCAGCCCTCATCCGAGACACCTGTTCACAGCTGGTGATCCAGTGCTCATGGGCCTGTCCTCTGGCTGAGATTGAACTCGGTATCCAGTCCTCGACCTCTGGTCACTGTGTGTGAGACTTGCCCTGGAGCCCTCTACCATACCTGGGCAACTGGTCTGAGAGCTTTGGTTAGAAATCCTAGTGTTCACTCTATCCCCTGCCCAGACTGGCTTGTCCTTACAGGGATGATGTTGTATACTTGAGAATAGATGTCCTATTCTTTCCCATTTCAGGAGTCTCTGTAGTTGACTGAGAAAAGTGGAAATAACGATAGAAAAGAAGAGAGGAACTTGTGCTTGTGGGTCTGGCCCAAGGGTTCCTTACCTTCCTGATGTTTTCTTGTTTCCTGGGAGGTGGTGAAGAGACATTATTCTCGAGGTAGCGGAGTAACAGGAAATAGAGCCCCAGTCCACACAGGAAGGCTAGGATGATGTCACTCACACAGAGAGTGCAACTGGAGTACTGCCAAGTATCAAAAGTGCTTTTCAGAGATAAGAGTGCATTCTCCATTATCTGAATCACACGGCTGCCAGCAGGCAACTGAGCACAGGGCATGTACTTGGAGACTAAAGCCCTAGGCCTTTATCATAGAGCTGTGGTTTGGTCACAAAGGGCTCCTGAGGGTGTGGGAGGGAGTAATAGAGGAGGAGGCTGTACCACGGCCCCTCCCTAAACATCCGCCCCACAGCTCTATCCCTCCACCCTCATGGGTCTTCTAGACCTTAGTCAATTTTCTATTCGTTCCACCTGGAAATCACATTTTTCCGGGTTCCTCAGATCTCTTGGGGATCTCGGCTTGAACCCACCATTTTCATAGCCTTTGAAACTCTGAAATTCTCCCAGGATTTTGGCCGTTTCCCAGTGACTTATACTCTCAGAATCTCCTTTATTCACAATTCCATCGTTATTTCATCTCGCATATTTACATTTAAGTTGTATCAATACTTTCTCAGCAAATTTCAATTATACAATACAGCATTATCACCTCTGTTCATCACGTTGTACATTATATCCTAAGACTTTCATCTTATACAAAATTTTTACCCTGTAACCGCGCTCTTCATATTTCCCCCAACCCTAGCCCTTGGCAAACACTCCTCTGTTTCTATGAGTTTGACTTTTTTCTTTGTAGATTCTGCATA